TTAGAAGACTTAATAACCTGCAATTTGCTCTGCCAGTAATACACGTTAAAGAGGTGATGTATCAGTTACAAGATGATCACATCATTGTAATGCAGGATAGGATGTCTGGCCTGTGTTATAGTGCAAGATGCCAAGTGTAACTATTTAGCATCAGGGGTTATGTCATGTCTGCATCTGAGCCACTGGTTACCTTATATCTCTGATCGTAGCTCTCTTCATGGGATCCACCTGGAGCATGTGCTTCAGAAGGCTAATTACTGCCGGATTCAGGTACTGAGGAGTATAAAATATACCATCGCATATCTTCTTAAAAAGTGTTGGCACATGATCGTCATCAAACGGAAGGGTCCCGCATAACAAAGCATAGAGAATAACACCGCTGCTCCAGATATCCACTTCTGGGCCTGCATATAACCTGGAAAAAATCATGGCATTTACAGTCAAGTTTTGTTCAAGGAGGAATCATTCTACAATAACTAGCTGGAAAGACTAAACAAAGCACTTGCATGCTCAGGCTTGGATCCTATTCCTTCATTCTGCTTGAACTCCGTTCAAGGAGGAAGCATTCTACAATAACTACTTCTTAAACTGATTTCTCAGTCCTTCAGCAGCTAGCTGGAAAGACTAAACAAAGCGCTTGCATTCTCAGGCTTGCATCCTATTCCTTCATTCTGCTTGAACTCCGGTTCATCCAATGTGGAGGTGGCCCTCTTAGTGTGGAGTGTCCTCCTCTGGCACTAGGCACTTCTACTTATGGAACCTGCAAATGCCTAGCACAAGAGGAAGGCATTCTACAGCAAACAGAAGGTCCAAGGTCCAAGCCACAGTCCTTTGCATTCCATTTCTTAATAGGAAATAAAGCCAGGCATGTGAATATCCATATGCTGGACTCAAACCACGGAGACCAGGATGTAAACAGACTTTCAGCAACAATGCTTATGGGGTGCTCAGGCAAATTCACTATGGGTTGATGTGTCAGGCCCTACTACCAGTATCACACACCCCCAAAGACAAATTCCTCCTGTCCTATGCCATTTTGGTTATGTCCGTCCTAAGCTGGTCCCTGGTTTCAAGCTCCTGTTCGAAGCAAGCTCTAGTGAGCACCAACCATGCCTAAAGTTACATAATGACCAGCCGTGGCTAAGAACAGCAGGGCAATTTGTGTGTGAGAGAGAACAGAGCAGACAATCCCAGTTCCCTTAATGATAGGTAAAGTGTGGACGGCAAGACGCAAAGACCTTCTCTCTTATTCTAACTTCTCTCACAGGACTATTTATTTTCACATATTAAGATACTTATACTGTACCTTTCCTCTAGCCTCAAGAAAAAGAGTTCGTTTTTAGACCCTGCTTTTCTCTACTCGAAGGCGTCTCAGAGGGGCTTACAATCCCTTTCCCTTCCTCTGCCCACAGCAGACACCCTGTGAGATAGGTGGGGCTGAGAGAGCTCTCTCGAGAACTGCTCTTGAGAGAACTGTGACAGACCCAAGGTCACCCAACTGGCTTCATGTGGAGGAGTGGGGAATCAAACCTGGTTCTCCAGATTAAAGTCTGCCACTCTTAACCACTACACCACAGCTGGCGGCCAATAAAATTTGGGAGGATAGTAAGGATAAAAAAGAGATAACGCTCGTGTGCCCAATTATGAGCTTTTTTCAAGAAGGGTGCAACCCAATGTTAACCCAATTGCATGTCCAATTTCATCAGCCACCATCACACAGTTGTACTGCTCAAGAAGTACTGGAAACTGGAGGGGAATGAGGCTCAGAGGTAGAGCACATGCTTTGCATGTAGAAGGCTCAAGGTTCAATCTTGAGTTTAAAAGGATCGGGTAATAGGTTACATGAAAGACCTCTCTGTAAGACCCTGGACAGCTGCTGCCTGTCAGAGCAAGCAATACCAAACTTGATGGACACAAGATTTGTATATGAGCGCTTCGTGTGTTTGATAGTCTGGGAACATACATTTTACACGAGGTAGGAAAATGACCACATTTGTGTTCCAAGTACCATGGCATCAAACTACAAAACCCAAGGGTAGCATGACAAAGAACCCTTTAATGAATGAATCTTCATTCATTTCCCACAGAGAAGGGCACCATCTGTAAGAACCAACATCATATTACAATAAGCTTCAATTCAGAAATCCAGATCAAGGGGAAAGAAAGAATCCTGAATGCTTTCATTCCCAAGTATCTGATGCTGCTAACTAAACAGAATGTTTTTCAAGCTAACTCCAAGAGTTTTTATCCATTGAAAGGCCAAGACTTTGCATCTTTACACCATTTATTAATGCTGGCAATACTGATGTCTTTTTTTACCATTTGGTCAAATCACACATAAAAAGCATTGAGACTAATCAAAGCAGCCATAAAAGCCAGGAATTTCAAATTTCCAAGTACAAACCTGGAAGTTTAGCAATCTATCTTGCAGCTTTAACACTGAAGAGCAGGGCTTTTGTTTTTGGGAATACATATATACATTTATCCAATAAGAGAAACTACCTTCCTGAAATTACTTCTGGAGCAGCATAGTTAGGTGACCCACAGCTCGTTCTTAAAAATTCACCGTCAGACATCATATTTGAGAGGCCTGAAAATGCACAAAAGTTTCAGATGGTTAGCACACATCAACACAAGTTAGTGATGTCTCTGTACAGGAATGGCAGATTGCTTGTTTGCAGTGAATGCTAGAAGGCAGCAAAGATGGCAAGGCTCCATCTGAAGGTGCTCCCAGATAATACACCTCAAGAAGTAGCATCAGGGCCAAGTTTTAGATCAGATTAAATTATACGGAATCTACTAGTTTGAGGGATCAACCAGTACAGGAACGGGGCAAACTCCAAGGACCCGAGAAGGGAGTCCCTCCCAACACACACACGTCAAACACAACATATGGCAATCCAAGAAGATAGAGTCCTATAACAATTTTTACTCCTACTACATGAAGCAGCAGACACATGAGGAATATTCCTTTACATCAATTTTAAGAAGTTGCACATTAACTACCTTAGCAACTTCACTGGTAGCTCATGACAGGCTCATTTTACAGATGCCACATCCCACTTTTAAATTTTGTATAAAGAAAATGTCAATAGCAGGAAAGCAGAGATTAAAAAATTAAAATTTTGAAGCCACAGGGGGAGCCCCCTTTTTAAAAAGGAAATTGGAAGTTTGGGGGAAATACTGGGATATATGCAATACTTACTTTCATATGAAACCTAAACAACAACTACTGATTTAGCAACATGAATGGCATCATTTATAATTTAGCATAAGGAAAGTTAGAGTAGATTTAGATGAAGGAAAAGTGAAAATTGGTAGAAGGTACATTAACAATTTGAGATATGCTGATATCATATTACTGGCAGAAAATACTGAGGATCTGAAGTGACTACTGATCAAAGTTTAAGCAGAAAAAGCCAAAGCAGGATTACAGCTGAACAACAAGATGACAAAGGCAATGGTTACTGAGGAATTACACAACTAGATAACCAGATAAAAAGGGTTTTTTTCCCCGTTTCCCTGATGGCGACAGGGTACAGCAGTTTGCAGTTCTCCATTTCCTTCCAAATACACAATTTTGTTTGAATTAAACTCCCATATATATACGTTTAAATTTCATGAACATGCCAAATAACACAATTTTACTTGCTAACAAAGTTATGAATGATGCATTTTATGTCCTTAAAGCAGTAAAGTAAGTTTGTGTTGGATGATACAGTTCCACGTATATTTTAATTCCCCCTTCCACTACATTTCCATTTTTCCAACAAAGATTTTAGAAAAAAAATGTTTTCCCCCATAGCTTTAAAAGTTTTCAGAACATTTATTTCTCTAGAAAGACCATAGAAAGCTCCTTCCAATGAAATGAGACTGTTCAGCTCTGTTTAAAGCAGTTTCATATGCTTACAATGCACCAGCTACAATTCAAATTGGAAAATTTAAACTATATTCTGTTTTTCACAAAGTCAACTGCTGATTGGAAGTGTCGCGACATTTAGATAAAGCAATATTTTGGGCAGGAATATTTGACAGTATCCAACCCCCAAGTGTACTTAAACTCCATACCTTTGTAGCAACTGAATACCTAGCATTGATAAAACACCTTTCATGCTCACACATTTTTGTCTTAGCTCAGGAAGGAGGGCTCCAGAGCAAATTAATTTATGCAGTAGCCAAATCACCTGCTCACAACTTTAATGCTGGTAATTCAAAAAGTAGAATTTTTGCTCACAGGACTCTACAGCTTAGAGGGAACATTGCCCCCAAGTATACTTAAGCTCCATACCTTTGTAGCAACTGATACCTAGCATTGATAAAACACCTTTCATCAGAGACCTCAAAAGGACAGGTAGTATCCACTAAATCTACAAAAGAAATATTAGGACTATCCAGCTGTATTTCTGGATTTATATGGACAATCCACCCAATTTAGTTTCACTGGGTTAGATCCAGTATGCAAACCTTACCCTGGTTTCCTTCTTCCTCAGCAGTCCTTTCCTGGGGTCTCATGGGGACTACTAACCAATGGGGACATGGTTCTGCAGGCAGCACTAAAGAGGGAGTGAAATCACCCTTGTTTCCTCTTTAGAGGTGTTTGGGTGGAAGAGGGAGGACTGGATGATTTTGCCCCATTCCCGTTCCTTAATGTAACCTACTTGACCCACATGGCTATTCGTTCATCCTGTGACCTCGGGAACCCACTTTTCCAGGGTTGGCAAGAACTGCTGGGGAAGGTCAACAGGGAAAAGGTCAGCGATCCTTATGCCTGCAGATTGCCGGATATAACCCACCCTATAGTGAAGGATCCAACCCTCTTCTAGAGTGAAGCAATGAAGACTAAGTGTTAATCTTTTGCACTATTACCTGGAAACACGTCCCACTGGGACACAATTTCCAAGAAATATGCCTAGGATAAGGCTATAAGCTGCTAACAAACTTGATTAAAGCACATTGTGGTATTAGCTTTCACTCAATATACACAGAGCAGAACAGGGGAAGCAGAATCCGCTAAAAATCTACTTTGAGTGGTACTGCAGAAAAAGATATAGAATGTGTTTCAACGGTGTGTTTTATTGCACATTTTATCACAGCATTTCATACTAAAAAGTTTATATAAGAAAGTGAGTACTGTATGAACACAGAAGCAATGTTTCTGCTCCCCATCTACAAAAGGCTTTCAAATGCATAAAAATTATAATGCAACAGCTACACAATTCTAAATTCTGGCAAGATAATCTCTTGTATCAAAGGGGGGGGGGGGATTCCATTTAGTTATGAGGCAAATAAAACCACATTTCAAGGCAACCTACAGGATAAGGCTATAAGCTGCTAACAAACTTGATTAAAGCACATTGTGGTATTAGCTTTCACTCAATATACACAGAGCAGAACAGGGGAAGCAGAATCCGCTAAAAATCTACTTTGAGTGGTACTGCAGAAAAAGATATAGAATGTGTTTCAACGGTGTGTTTTATTACACCTTTTATCACTGCATTTCATACTAAAAAGTTTATATAAGAAAGTGAGTACTGCATGAACACAGAAGCAATGTTTCTGCTCCCCATCTACAAAAGGCTTTCAAATGCATAAAAATTATAATGCAACAGCTGCACAATTCTAAATTCTGGCAAGATAACCTCTTGTATCAAAGGGGGGGGATTCCATTTAGTTATGAGGTAAATAAAACCACATTTCAAGGCAACCTACCAAAATCAGCAATCTTGGCATTCATGTGAGCATCAAGCAGCACATTTTCAGGTTTCAAATCTCTATGAACTACCATGTGCCTGTGGCAATAATCCACACCGGAAAGGATTTGCTGGAAAAGACGTCTGCTTTCCTTTTCATCAAGCTAACAACAGAGGACGAGAACAGAGTGTTAAACATACACTCCCTCATAGGGGTATTCCCAATATTTTGTGGGCACAGCAAGATGGCATTCTGATGTTATATGAATGACTGAATACAATAGAGATGCAGAAGGATTACCCTTGGGGGTTTGTGTTCACCAACTATAAGCAGAGTTCTGCTTGTGAAACAGAACTTTCCTCCTATCTTCCCTCCCATTGCTGACGACAGCAACCCTCCCCAAAGGTTGCAGCCTGGATTCAGGGGACTCCCTGGAACAGTACCAGGTGTAATGGGGGCTGGGATTGTTAAAAATCACAAACATCCTTGTCCATGCCTACTTATTAGGTGCGGAAAGATCTGAATCAATAGATGTTCCCTGCTCATAAAATCAGGCGGCCTCCAAAGAGGAGACAGCTGTCCAAAGTGAGGCCTCGTCATGATTAACAAACAGCTTTAAATGCCTGCTCGCTTTATTTAGAGAGCATATTTCACCAGGCAGCACTCATGTGGAAGCTTTAGCTAACACCCCCCCCCCACACACACACACACCGATTTATAAGTTTCAAAACAAAGCTAAGGATCCCTGAGTGCAAATTCTGGTCCAATAAAAACCCTCACTGCTCATTATACTGAAATAAGGCCTTTAATTCATGTGTGCCTCAGATAATATCCTGAGCTCCCATATAACCCTGATCTTCTGTGCATACCTCTGTATTTACAATGGAGATGGGTGTTCACAGATGCCTCACCAGTGAAATCAACAGAAAAGCCCTTGCTCTTACAGGAGTGCCACAGATCCACTGGAGCAGACATACACATGAGACTTCGTACCAAACCAAAACCTTGAAGCGACAAGCTAATTAAAATTGCAACCCAAGTGCCTTTGATTCAGGTTTTTTAAATACAGGTAACCAGTCTCCAAACGATTTAAACTGAAGAGTAAAAAAAAAAAAAGCCGTAGCACAATTAAGTCTGATCAAATACAACTGGTAGTACAGGGAACAGCTGCAACATTTTTGTCCCATTGCTCATTGTTTTGTATCTGTCCATCAACTTCCAGTGGAATGTGAGAGAAGCAAAAATACAAACCGATACGTCACACTAAAGATTAGTGCGCTGAGTAATTTACTGTTGATAATCAAAAACAATGACTAAGGATTATCTTCCCAGAAAAAAACCCAGCAATATTCTAAGGTGCTACATGAACACATTATACAGCATATTTCTAATTTGCACTAATAAAAACTGAAATGCTTGTGTATCTACATGCTCCAGAGACAACAGCACTTCTCATACACATGTCTGACAAGACACTGAAAACTGGCTGGAGCAAAACTCTGCTGATGAGTTATTTACATGTGTGAGCAGCATAATGTGAGAGAAGTCAGCCCATACAGTATCAGTTGCTCCTTTCCTTTAAGCAGATAATTACAAACCACAATTTCTCATAGAAGAGAAAGGGGGTAAGGTTAGGGGGGGGTTGCTTCTCTCCTGCAACTCTACTCCTGTGAATAGCATTTTTGTTCAAATTAGCCCTCTGTGTTTCATCGTAACAGACTGACAGCCATGTGCAAAAAGCCCATCAGAGACTATAAAACAGCATTCTCAAAAGCTGGAGAGCCTTACCCTTCCATTTTTGCAGATGTAGTCAAACAATTCACCTCCTGAAACATATTCCATCACCATGAAAATGTCAGATGGTGTGCTGATGACCTGGTAGCTGAGAAAGACAATACATTATTTAACTCAAGGTATACGCTTGCACACCATATGAAATTAGGCAGCACTTTTAATTAAGGACAGTACACAGATACGCAGTCCAACCACACCAATGTGTGTTTCGAAGGCTCATTTAAGACTTATTCCCAAATAAATATACACGGGATACTCAATCTGTGGTTGGTTCAGCA